GGAGCAAGCAAACACCGATACTGTTGATACGGACAGCCGGAATGGGGATGGGGAGGGGGGGGGGGGGGTTAGCAAGTGCACCTTGGAAAAATTACAGAAGACATACCTGCTAAGAATAACCAACCAAGACACGCGGGACCCTTCATTAAACCCCCCCCCAATTTACCCCAGTGGATCTTTGATCTACTGATCACCTGCACCCACTGTGGCTCAATCAATCAACCAATCAATCAATCAATCAACCAGTCAGCCAATCAGTTTGCCGAGGTGATTTTCATGATCCAGTGACAGTGGCATGTTCACATTCTCACCTGCATGAAAAGGTCATTGTGTTTCATGTGTCATTTGTCTTTTGTACAGAAAGCAACAACGAACCAGTCATATCTGAGCGGTGACTGTGAGTGTGCTGTGATTGGTCAACACCGGTGGCAGCTCGGCTTCACCTCCGATAAAACTGCTTTTTTTGTGTCTTTAGATGTAAAAACGTAAGTCGGTCTGGACACGAAGGTCACCCCGTAACTGCTCCGACAGAGGGCTCCACCTCCAGGTCACGACACAGCGGAGCGACTCACTCAGAGGTTTTGACTTTACCACCACCAGCAGCAGCAGCAGCAGCAGCAGCAGCAGCAGCAGCAGCAGCAGTTTTCCCAGGCAGACGGGCTGTGTTCCTCTGAGAGAGAACGATGTTCAACATAAGCCTTAACTGTTTAATGTGAAACCTGATCCACAAACGTCTTCCTGTGCAGCTGAAATCAGCCTGTAGCACAAACTGCTCTGAGAGTTTAATTTATTGCCGGTCCTTTGTTCCTGCAGAGAAATCCGATGGCAGCGATTGTGTGGAAATGACGGGGAGATGACAGGTTGATATGCAGTATCTTTAGCTGCTGAATGGCTGATGTGTGCATGGCAGCAGCATGTGTGTGAGTCAGTCAGTCAGTCTGTGTGTGTGTGTGTGTGTGTTGACATGGGTGTAATCGACCTTTTTAGGGCTGCCTTAGCCTTAATGGGAGAGTGCATTGTGTGCAGCAGATTAGAGGTTAAGATTTGATGAAAACTCTTTTTGCTCATTTGGATTTATATAAACCCTCGGCCGGGACCTGTTGACTCAGCCACGGCCCACAGGCTGCACACACTCCTACTTTGGTGTTTTCTTTTTCTTTTTCAGCAGCCTGTCAGGTGAGATTATACCTCAGGTGATCCTAATCTCTCTCTCTCTCTCTCTCTCTCTCTCTCTCTGCCTTCCCTCCAAAACAGCACTAAAAGCCCTGCCCTGGGTCCTGCTGAGAGACGGGACTCCAGATGAAATATTATAACCTGCCATTACGTCAGTCTGTGTTTAGCCACAAGTTCAGGACTCATCGTTAATGATCCTGCTCAAACTGACACGGAATTAACTCCAGTCAGATTGAGCCACCGACGTCAAGGCGACGTGTTTTTATCCCACGCCTGGATCAAAACAGAAACATAATAAAATAAAATAAAAAATCTTACTTGAAATGTTTAACTATCATCCCTGAGATTTTGAAGTGATAAACATGAAATGTCATCTGTTACAGCTGCTCCAGACAGAATTACACACATGGCACCACTGTCCTTCAGCGGCCTCCTCTGGCAGCAGATGGTCATAGCACCCACTCCTGTGCAGCCAACTTTCATTGAGGCTGAAGGTTAAAAAAAACCTTTGCATTAGTCAAACAGTTTTTTGTTTTTTATATATAACTAGTGAAGTAGAGAAAGTTTGGCACGGTGTTCTCCAAACCTGCCCCCCCCCAACCACCCCGGCTTCTATATCAAGCACTACAAGCCATTGATGTGAGGGGACTATAGTGTGTCTCACACCCCCGCGGCTACAAATAAGTGTTGGGCACGGTGTTCTGAAATGCAGGGCGGGTGGGTCACTCTATCCATGCATCCGAACTGCTGGCTGCCAAAAGTGCGGCCACAGTGCCCTCTAGCACGCACTGCTGCGCGGCTCCTGCCAGAGACATGTGGGGGAATCACGGGCCCTATTTTTATTCACCCATCGCTGTCATCATCAGATTGCAGGGGCTATTATTTTAGACTTTGGAGCAATTATCCTAATGGTTAGTGGTAGCTTGAAGCACAGCCCCCGAGTTGTTTGGATTCGCGTGGAATTGAAGAATGAAGCATCAATCAGGGGCTATTGTTTTGACCATGGCACCTGTGGAGGGGCAGTTGAACTTTGACAGAATATTATCTATTTATCTGTCTATTATCTATCTATCTGTCTATTTATCTGTCTTTCTATCTTGAACTTTTTGTTTATTTTTAAACTGTACATAATTATATAATTGAAATATTTTGTAATATTAATTTAACAATATACCAATCTGCATATGTGATGCTGGAGTTTACGTCATTACAAACCTAAATCATAGACAAATACATTTGCGTGTATATGTGAATATCACGCACATGCAAATATATATATATATATATAATTATTTTTTTAGTAAATTATAGGCTGCCGTGTGTCCTCAGTGTCTGCTTGATTAACAACAGACACTTTTAGTTAAGGAGTTCACCATCCTGCCCTGAAGCATCACCGACAGCCCTGACTGTCAACACTGAACAATAGTCTACTGTGATTGAGGAAAAGTGCGACTGGAAGCGAGCAGCCATTTGGTGTCATTTGTTTAATTGTCCACTAATAATAGTCCCGTCAAATTAGATGACGCAAAAAAAAACCCGCATGTGCGGATTGGAAAGGTTGGCAAAATAAAGTGTGGTTTTCAGACAAGAACATCACAGTGAGTTATGGTTTTTTTATAATGGAAACCGAAAATTATTTTAATTAAAAAAAACATTTTTTAACCCATTAGTCGAAACACTTGCGCATCAAGAGTGAACGTATCTCCGAAAGTCAAATGAAAAAAAAATTTAAAAAAAGAGAAATAAACCATTGACATTTACTATTGATGATATTTTCATTTTCTACATGTGGAAATAAAAGTGTCTTCTTACCCGAACACGAATGCAGAGGCTTCGGCCGCACAATGAGCGACGGACACATGGAGTAGAGAGAAAGTTTCTCGAAATAATCACACGTCTCCTTGGAGAGAATCTCGTCGATCATGAAGGTCTTGTAGCGCCGCCTGGCAGCTTTCAGCTGCGCCGGGGACGACAGCCGTAGCTCGGCTTGACAGTGCATGATCTGCCGCTGCGGGTGCGCCGTGCGCCGCGCGCTTCTCTCTTCACCTGCGGCACAGTGAGTCTGTGTTCGGGGAGCGCGCGTGGGTCTCCTGCGGACTGGAGGAGAAGAAGAAGAAAGTTCACGCGTCCAAGTGACTCATGGTCGATGTGTCGAACCCGCAGCTTCGGCTCAAAGTGTCGCGTCCGCAGCAGGAACCTTGAACTTGAACTGCGCTGCGGGGATGAAGTGTGTGAGTGTGTGAGTGTGTGTCTGAGTGCGCACACCCACTGGTTTATAAACCATCTGTGAACACATCACTGCTGCCGCATCTGTCCAAGCTCTCTCTCTCTCTCTCTCTCTCTCTCTCTCTCTCTCTCTGACACACACTCATAAATATTCTTGTGCTAACATTCAAGTTTCCACCTTCTGAACAACCAGAAACACGACCAAATATTGCCCAACTCCCTTTTGATGTTCTTGTCTACAAACGTCACGTGGTCCCGGACAGATCTGATCAATAATATTACTATAAAATCCTAATATTATTAATAATGGAATATTTCATAGAGGTTTCAGGAAGAGTACGTTTAATTAAAACTTAATTTAAATGGTCTCTTATAGACTATGAATTGATTGATTGTTTTGTAGAATTTTGCGTTTAGTATTAAAATAATAAACAGTTTCTCTCATTTTTTTATATTCTTCGTGAGGCTAACAAAATGGTACATAACTTTATTTTTCTCTTTCATAATATTGGGTAATTGTTTTTCATCCGTATAAATAACAATTTAAAAAATAATAATATCATCCGTATAAATAACAATTTAAAAAAAGAAGCAACATCAGTAATAAAAAATAATAATCATAGTATTCGGTGTCCGTTGTTAAGATAAACAGATAAACATTCTGTTAAAGTCCGTGGTGTCTTTTTATTTTCTCTGCTTTACTGTTTATAAATAAGTGTTTTTTTCGCTCAAAACTTGATACAAAGTTCATTTTACTTTAACAAACTTTACGTTTCATTTTCAGATAATTGACCTGTCCCTGGTTTTTGTCTTTATTCTGTTTTCTTTATTAACACGGTTCCCGTCGTTGACAGTCACAGAAATGACGTCAGTCGAGCAACAACGAACCGCCAATAAAACAAAGGTTTCTGCCTCTAAAACAAAGATTCTCCACATACCTGCAGCCACGGTTACTGCAGTAAATGTGACAATAATATAGTAACATCAGAGAAGTTCAGTTAGACTGACGTATAGACACATAAATAAAGTCTGACAATATTTGCCTGTTAAAACACTAAATAAATAAATAGTTGTGAATATTTTCTTTTAATTAAAGATTTCCCTTTATTTCAGTATTAACTGATCTGATTTTATTTTTTAATCTCTCAGATGTTTAACTTGGTTTAAACGGTGCGTTAAGGGAACGAACGTGTTGTTTTCTTTGTGGAAATTGGACCTAAATATTTGTAATATAATTAGTAACTGAATTAGAAATTCATAAATTCTAGGAGGATTTTATTTATAATAATGTTAGAAATAAATGTCACGTTCACAGATTAACGGCTGTGTGAGCTCCATAGGGCGGGAAGATTTTTTTTTTTAATTTTTATTTTTTCATCATTATGGAAAAATAAAAAGCAAAGTCGAAAATTCAACAAATGGATTAGAAATAAATGTTTAGATGACGTCATCTCAACCTGATCGACCCCGTTCGTTTCTGGAAAATTAGGGCCTTGAGCAGGTGAAGGAGCCTAGAGCAGGTTTTTTTTTTTTTTTTTTTTTTTAATATATAATATATCTTCAACGGCTGTGGCACCGACGAACTCAACAACCTGAGGAGGAGCCAAGGCCCAGGAAGAGCAGAGGAGCCTGGGTTTGGGTAGCGGGTCTGCAGGGCTCACGGAGATGGGGACACCGCTTCTATATAAGTCCACACGGCAGCAGCCTCTCTCTTCTCTCTCCCCTGTCTCTAATCCGCCCGACACCCGGGGGGGGGGGGGGGGGGGGGGGGGGGGGGGGGGGGGGGGGGGGGGGGGGGGGGGGGGAGGCTGGAGACGCCAGAAAGATCAACCAATTAGAGAAGCTATGCCACGGACACAAGTATAATAAAGGGGCTTCCGAGTAGCGACACCGAGCGGAGGATAAAGACGATGTGTTTGGTAGCATCAGGGTGTAATCTGAGTCCCCGCACAGATTAGGTTCAGAGCCCGGCCTGGTGCAAATGCATGTGAACCTGAGTTCTATTCACAAGGATAAGTAGTCACCCACAGCAGGGGTCGCTGTTGTGAGAGACTAGAAGACCTGTAGACTGTGACCTTAATGGATGTCGCTGCTTTAACGAACCCGTAGTGACGTCATCGTGTGTGAAAGGATCAAGATGACACAATAAGCATGTTCCCAAAATCAAACCAGTGGGGGGAAAAAAAATCGTGGTGCAAAGAGTTCACTAATAAATCTGGACTGGATATTGTCATTATTATTATTATTATTATTGTCGTGTTCGACTGCAGTGATAATGAAATAAAACCCAGGTCTAACTGCCTGCCGTAAAACGAACAGAGTGGGTGTCAAATCCCCCTAAACACTCGAGAGCATCCCGAATAGAAAGGTCAGGTAGAGGAGCTGACCATGTGGCTCTGTTATATTTAACATCTTAATTAATTCAATGGAAGTGGATGTGTGTGGCGCCACCTATAGATTACCTCATAACCGCTGCACAAGTGTATTAGTTACACAAGAGCCATTTATAGGTACAGATAAGGCCATGTGTGTGTGTGTGTGTCATCAACATACAATAGCTGACTCTGTTAACCCCGTCACATGCACAACGAGGCCTGTAAATAGCATTCAATGATGTGGAGCCTGGACTTTAGGAATTAGAAATGGCTGTCATATAAACACACACACACTGTGATTTATAGTGATAAAAATGTTTCATTGTAAAACAACTCATCTTACAGGTTGACTTTGGGAAAATAAAAAAATTAAAAAAAATCTTTTTTTTTTTTTTACAAAGAATTGAACAATAAAAAAAAGTCCAGTTACTGCAGTAAAAGATGTGCTGGTGAGTTATTGATCCATTATTGATTTTTCTTTTTTTTTTTCAGAAATACCTGATACGTTTTTAAAATTCTGGCAGGAATAATTTAAAACAATATGCATAAAATAAAAACTGTCATTTAAGTCATAAACCTTTTTTTTTTTTCTATCCACCAGGTACTTCCCTAAAACTGATTTCCGTTCTTTTTTCGTCGAGCTCAAGCTTTCATCAACAGTTCTCTGCCACATTTCCGTGAGGACAAACTCACGCGACGGTGGTCTAGAAATTTAAAAGCGCCTTAAAAATTAACAAACAAAAATATACATCTTCTGAGGCATACGGTTCTGAGCCTCAGTGGAATCGTATACAAACATCCTGAGCGAGTGAGTGCTGAGTTCAGTGACATATTCCCTCGTCTTCTCTGGGATATTTGTGGAGAACTTCAGTCTTTGCACAGAACCCCCCCTCCCCCGTGACGTGTGTCAGTACCGCCGCCATCTATTATCGCTGTGGCCGCTGCCGCCCCTGTTGTCTTGTGGCCTGTAACTGCCTCGGCTCTGTTGCTGACGGTTGCTGCTCCTGTCCCCCTGGTGGCTGTAGTTGTCCCGGCCGTGGCCGGACTGCTGGTGGCGGCTGGGGCCCGGCTCCTCCGAGAAGCGATGGTTCCTGCTGCCGCTGTTTGAGTGGTACAGGTGTTGCTGGTAGTGAGCGTTACTGTGTTGCCTCGAGCTGCCGGAATGTCCTGCAGGAGACAGCTGGCTCTGCATGGACTTGGAGTAGCTGCCATTTTGGTATTCCAGCTGCTGCATGTGGGCCTGCCGCATGTTGTTCACCTGCAGAAGATGGAAGATGATGAAAAAAAAAAAATACCTGCAGATGATGGAAAAAAAAAAAAATGTTAGCATCACGTCATGCAACAGAGGATGAAGAAAGAAGCATCCACTCTACATCCAACATGAACTACAGCAGTTCATCTTGTAACAGTGGTGTCGTGGAGGTAAAGGTTACCATGACATGTTTTTGCAGACTCCCACAGCCGGAATAAGACCTCGATGGTTGAGAAGGTGGAGAACTAAAATGGTCTGGTGCCCTGCAAGAGTAAAGGGTTAGGGTTTAGACAAATGATCAAAGAGTCAATTGTACAAGTGATGTCATTCTGTGAACGATGGCCAAGAATTCAAAGCAGCGACACAGTAATTATCCACGGAGCCACATCCGTACAAACACACTGTGCCAGGAGTGACATTACCAAAGAAATCAAGGTGATGTTACATCTTTTCTTGTTTGTTTCAATGATAAGAT